CATTTCGAAGCACGTGCTTACAAATATTTTTTTTGCAATGTTGTCGTAACAACTTGTTTAATAGAAATATTTATATATAACTGACTTGTATTAGTAATAGAAAGATTTTATGTTCTGAAGTAAAACAAAGAAATATAAATATTTGTTGATGACATTTTTGTAATCACAGTATCTATTATTACATAAATCAATCGAAATTAGCAACTGAAATCTTTGAGAATGATACTTCGATTTTTAAACAATAAAAATTTTGGAACATCTTAAGTTTCATGTTTTATTATTATGTGTATTTACCATCAAAATGAAAAGTTATAAGTAACGATTATAATTAATTTTTGTATTTTGATTTTTAATTCTCAATGATGGATTACTTTTAATTGTATTGCATATTTAAATTTTATTGCATTTGACGCATCAATAGATGTGAGCTAACCGAAATGTTTTAGTAAATATCGCATAGTTGATGGAACTTGGATCAGTAATTTTCTCGAATTTTCTGGAATGTTACACATCTCGACAGGTTCTGGCTCAGTCATTCCTGAAGAACATTATTTATTTCGGATATCAGTTAGCGCGTTCAGATGATAGGTTCGGTTCACTGTTTTGTCATGCTTTTTTTTAATCGTTTACTTTTCGATCTGTTTTGTGCGAAATTTTTACATGATTATCGATGATATAAATAATTTAAAAACAGACATGTTGTAAATTCGCTTGAAAAGTCATTTATCATTTTTTAGCGATTGTTAAAATAAGTCAGTGTAATTGTTAAAAAATAATCTCGGTGATTCTAGATTTTTCCTTTTGTAACGTTATTTCCTCCAAATTAATTCTAGCATTTTCGGGAACAATTTAGAAACACGTTAGTATAAAAAAAATTAGTATAAAAAGCAAATTAGTATAAAAAGAGCCGGAGCAGTCTCTCGACTCGCAATTCGAGTAATTTGCTAGTGTGAGTAAGTGCTGCAGTCTTTTTACACAAATCAGTATGCTTTTTCAATAATTTCATTATATTTTGGATTTAATGTGATAGAAAAATATGAAGTTGAAAAAAGAATTGTATTATTTTGAAAGATGTTTAATGTACATAAATCTAAAAAAATGCTCCAAAATATTATTCAAAGATTGAAGTATAATTTTTCAATGTTATAATAGCAAATATTCCAAAAATACATTCTAAAATATTGTAAAGTATTGTAAACGCAAGGTTTAAAAATTTACCGTATTAAAACGTATCTATGTGTGTGTGTGTAATTGAGTGCTTGAAAATACTATAAATTATTACAGATAAAATGTGATATTTCGATTATGAGATTCTTGAGAAACACATTTAAAATACCAAAAGACACGACATTCCGAAGGGCAGATTTGTTGATTCAGACGAGTTTGGGAATTCTTGTGAATTCGATCTCACGTCGCGATCGCATCTTGATCATGAATCTTTCGACCACAACTGCGATTACATTCATGGCATGGCGTAGACTCGTTTTCCTTTCTAACTCCCTCTTCTCTTCGACATATTCTCTTCACTCTCTTTCTTTCTATCCTCCATTCTGTTTTTCTTCTTTCGTTCATCTCTCTATTCCTCTTTGTCTTCTCTTCAATCTCTCTCTCTCTCTCTCTCTCTCTCTCTCTCTCTCTCTCTCTCTCTCCTTCTCTCTTTTCCCCCTCCTTCTTTCGCCCACTACTTTTATCTGTCCTCTTTCAGCTTCTTTTCTGAAGCCGGTTCGAAGAAGACTAGCCCATTTGCAACAAAGAACAATGCGAGAGCAAAAATGACGAGACAGGTCGGCACACAGTGATAATGACAGTTCGCCAATTCATTTTGCGCGTTTGGCGCCAATTTTCTTACAAGTTTTACAAGTCAAGTGATGTCGCAAGGAAATCTATGATGCGTGACAGATCATGTCGCATAGGTCCCGACTACATAATTTTTTTTATTTCTACTGTTCGATTAGAAAGGATTATAATCCGAAATATTTTTCTTCTTTGTATATACTTTTCTTTATTAAATCCTTTACTTAATTAAAAAAATATTAAGATATATAATATATAATACATATTATATAATACCTCTATATTGTTCTCTATATTATTCTCGAATTTAGATAGATATAGATTTATGAATAAAAATAGTGATAAAACTTTTAATCAAAACTTGTAATAATCAACAACAGGAAGAAATATTTTTGTTATATTAGTTTATTTTAATGTTGTCTTACAAAAAATTGTCTTACAATACAATATTTTTCTATTAGTAGGGATGTATAATAACATGATGGCATACGAAAACCGGTATGACGCTTTTTCATAAGTAGCTATTTCTTCTCGCGCACCCGGTATAATCGTGACATGTTGCAACGGAGATATCTTAGTGCTAAGGGATTATATTTTTGAAGTTTCGTTAACTACAAGCAAGCTGTTACTACAGCGAGTACAACATTCCGCTACATCGAACTTTATGTAAAGTCTACCAGCAGATGTTCGAGTGATATCGATACTTCGATAATCGTTCGTTAGGTGAAGCAATCTTCATTGTATTATTGTGTTTCGCGAAAACGCAAAATTTATACCTACAATGATAATTGAAAGTTATTTAAATTTTCATATTATATGAAAAACGTATTTTTAATTTTTAAATTGATGTAGTAAATAACAGAACTTGTTTTATATTATTTAAAATATTAAATTGAATAAAAATTAGAAAATTAAACAGAAATTAATTTAAATTATTTTAAGTTAATATATGGCTACATATGTATATTGCTTTTGTAAATTAAAACTATAAGTGTTTTGTGTCTTGAATTAGTTTAGTTAATTAGAAATACATATTTCGCACATGTGCGAAAAGAGGATACGTAAGTAATATATAATAAATTTATTTTCTTAAATACGTGCGGAAGCCTTGAATGGAGGCACGAGAGCACACCTATTGATTTTCTGCTTTGAATTAACAAATCGATAAGCGAGTGAAAGGAAACTCGAAGGTCAACGACCGTTTGAAAACGACGTGGACACTGGTTGCATTAACGATGATGACTGCAGTCCTAGATCGTTATAATCCTAACGTTGCTACTTTCACGAGTACTTTATACGCGCTTTCTGTCGCGGTTCCTACGTGCTTGAGAATCTTTCAGCGATTGGCAGATTGCGCAGAAAATGTAAGCGTAAGAACAGAAGCAGATAGACATATCTATATATCCGTAGAGAAAGTTACCCGATCGTTTGTCACGATCATAATATGATCTAATACTGTTTAAAGAAAATAGAACAACTTAAAAAGTGGAAGAATGATTAAATATTTATATCATTGAAATATTTTATCTCAATTAAAAAAAATTTTGAAAATTCAAGTCAAATTTTTTCTTATACTTCACAAGTATTTTTTGTTTTTATACATGAAAATTTTTTTTTATAACAATTTGATTTTCATGCATAATATGCATAATTTACTTAATTCCTGTACAGAGAAAGTTTATAAGTAATTTTTAATATTATATATATAAGTAACACATATATCTCAAAAGAAAAGAAAGAAATTTTGAAGATAGTAATTTTATCATTTTTCGAACGACTATCATTCATAGAACAATGCGTTTTAAGGTCTTAGCAAGAACTAAAAGCAAGTGTAATCGGCAGCGAACAGAAGACAGAAAGTAAAGGAACGTTTTCTCGTTTCAGCCGACAGATCGAATCGAAATAAATCGGCAATACGACAAACCGGTTCGCGCATCGCGTGAGTGCGCTACGGCGTGCGCACATGATCGTTGTGTATACGTGAAAGGGGGCAAGGTGGTGAACCTTATCTTTTTCGGGGGACGAAAAATTGCGAACAGTCCTGGCCGTTCCCGTGCCGGGAAGAAATGTATCGCCAGATGTTTTTCACTTGCCAAGTGCAGTACCTCAATGACGTCGATCCGTTTAGTTATCCAACCCTTTATCCGGATGTTAACCCTCCTGATCACACCTTCAGCGCGACCTTGCCGCTAATCAATCAACTTGCCGCTGTGCATCGACTTCTTCGGGCACCTCATAGGGTAAGTTATTTATTTTCCCGGCCTGTATTTTATCACTAATTTACGATCGAATTGGACAAATGTCCAAAACGCAAATGCATTTTGCGTGGTAAAGAAATTTGTAATTATTCTTTTCGAAATTTTTAAAGATTCTTAAAATATTTTAGATTGTATAAAAAGTATATTTTTATATATTATGAAATTAGATATAAAAATTGAAGTAATCAATTGATATCGATACTTGATTCTTTCCTGAATTGCGAAGTATGTAAGATATGAAATTATTGTTAGTAAAAAAAAGTTATATCATTAGAAATGAAATTATATCTTATTAGATCTGCAATCAGAATAAAAATTGGAAATTTCAAATTTTAATTATACGTTTTTTGCGGAATATGTGATATTTACTATTGATTCTGTAACTTTTGGAACCAAACGTTTTGGGATAAAAGCTTGGCGAATTAATTAGTTTACCCAGGGATTAATTCAGCCACTTAGTATTAATGAGTTAAGTTTTTGTTCTACGAAACTTTGCACTTTCTTTTCTTTTCTTCTTTTAATCTTATGATTACTTAAGTAAGAATTTATTTAAGCGAAGACGAATCAAGATATTATGGACGTAAATTTTATTATGATTGAATTTATTAAGGAAAATGTTTAGAAACGAATTGAATTATTCTTTTTATCAAAGATTTCTATTTCGGTTTGGACGATTTAATTGCTACGCGCGTGTGTGTGTGTGTGTGTGTGTATGTGCGCGCGCACGCGCGCGTGCGTGCGTGCGTGCGTGCGTGCGTGCGTGTGTATGTGTTTTTACGTAATAAATTATATTTATCACAAGTTAAACGATTTCAAGAATACTTTCATATTAAGAAAAATATGATCTCTCAACATTTTTAAATTCAAGAATATAAAATGAGAAATATAATTTGCAAAATTATGGCTTAGTTCTTTGTATCTGTCTTTCGTACAATAACTAAATTTATATTTCAAAATTTATTATATTAATAATTTGATATCGGAATTACGTCCACATAAATTATTACAAATTAGTATTATTAAAATTTTTCATTTGAAAAATTTCTTTTCATAGGAAGAAATATATCCGCAGCATTAGAGGATTAATTGTAACTTCTGTAAACCTTTTCTATATATTTGAATGATTCTTCTAATTGAGAGTATATTCTCTTTGAATATTACTCATCGGATGATCAAAGGACACTATACAATCGTAATTGTATTTTAAAGAATTAACACGAGGATTTGAAAGGACACAAAATGTGTGTGTGTAGATGTATAATTTTATATCAGCAACGTGACATTATTATTCGTAATTTCTTCTGTGTTAATTTGCAAAATTCTGGAAAAGGCAGTAGATAATGTGTAATTTTTTATTTTTAATTTCGTTTTTGTTGCATGTACTAGAAATATAATTTGCGTCTCGCCTTGAAGAAGTGAGAATTTTGCAACATACGTATTGATGATGGCTCGGAAGTAGACCGAAACATACGTAACTAATTATACTATAGTTTTTTGACAATAAACGATTTTTATTTTCGCACTAACAACTGCGCAAAAAACTCTCATTAGTCCTTATTTATTTTTGTTTTTTGATATTCTCGAGAGTTTGGTTATTTGTTTTATTTAATATAGTTTGCATTAGTAAGTTGGTTGCTAATATAAAAGTAAGGTATGTTATTGTATAGAGCATTCTCTGAAATTTTAACACTGTATTATAAATATGCAATTTCTCTCTCTCTCTCTCTCTCTCTCTCTCTCTCTCTCTCTCTGGCTAAAATTTAATTGAATACCATTATATCCTCGCAAATTCTGAATCTCCAATATTAAATCTCGTTGAGTAAGTCTCATAATTAAATTTTCATTGAGTTTACTTGGAATTAACTGAATAATACAATTCTGTTGTCATTTAATTCGGCAACATATAATAACTATTGTTACAAATCTGTTACATTTCAGTAAGTTTTATCAAGAGAAAGATTAAATTTTCAATGCCTAATAATGATTATTATTATACGTTGTCGAATTAAGCTTTAAATACTAAATAACAAAATTAATTCCAAGTAAATTCAATGAAAGTTTAATTATGAGACTTACTCAACGAGATTTAATATTAGAGATTCAGAATTTGCGAGGATATAATGGTATTCAATTAAATTTTAGCCAGAGAAATTGCATATCCATGATATAATAAAGTGTTGAAATTAGACGAAAATCTCGTAGGATAGTAAGATCGTAGCACGTAACTCCTTTGTTTGGCTCCATCGTCATTTCTGAGATAGTTCCTTCAAGACTATTGTACATGAATACAGTTAAATATTACTGCTCGCTACGTTTAAACCTTAACCTCGGCTACCTTCCTGATTGTATTGTATATTCTGACCCAATTGTGTTGTCACAATGTTTTCCCAGAAAAGCTGTGGCAATTCAATCCTTCCACATTTGAGATATTCACGAAATATGCTCAAACGATTAATTCTCCTGAAAATCTTCTCACAAAAGTCGGTAACAATTTTGTAAAAATCTGTTTTTTGGTCAAACAGTTATTTTTCTAAAATACGAGAAGAAAAGTTATGTATATTTACAAAACAAACGTATTGGTATTTATACAAATATATTTATATAAATAAAAAATAAAATCATTTTGGAATCAAATTAATTATATATATTGGTTGTTAAAGTTCGTGCTACTGACTAACCT